ATAAAAAGATGAATGAAAGGAAGACCAGTAGCGTAGAGGAAGGAGAATAGCAGGGACCAAAGAAGGAACAAGGGGGAATATTAGAACTGAAATAAAATTCAATGCATGTATGATTGGGGGGGGTGTAATCCAGTTATTATATGTAACTGTAATATTCTAATTTTAAAAAATTAACAATGAAGTTCTTCAATTTACATTCATTGAATGGATTCAGCAAGAAAGTAATGAATCTCAAAAACTAACTTATTTTAGATTTCTTGTTAGTTTTATGCTGAAACAAGCTAAAACAAACCAAAAGAACTGAAGTAGAGGCAAAAATTTGCATAATATGTGAGCCTAGATTTTTTTAGAAGCAGCATGATGTAAATGCATGTTTCCAACCTCAGCACTATAGATATTTTGGATCAGAGAATTTGGCAAATGCCCCTATCAGAGAAACCACTGAAGAAAGCCAAATTCAGAATTTCTGAAATAAATCCAGTATTTATTATGCATGATTTTTCAGAAAAAGAAAATATGGATAATTATGCATCTATTTTCTGACTATTCTATAATGATTTTGTATCAGTAGCTTAAATGTGTTCCTGCAAAACTAGACAAATTCCATTGTACAACTCTTCACACACCAGTTGAGATTTCAACTTGTCAAAAGTGAAGTTTGGGGGCTGGGGATATGGCTCAAGCAGTTGCGCTCTTGCCCGGCATGCGTGTGTCCCGAGTTCGATCCTCAGCACCACATACAAACAAAGATGTTGTATCTGCCGAAAACTAAAAAATAAATATTAAAAAAATTCTCTCTCTCTCTCTCTCTCTCTTTGAAAAAAAAAAGTCATCCCTAGGATGACATCTGTAATGAAATATTTTGACCAAGGAATCATGATTCATGAAGAACAGGTATAAATAGTTGTAAAGTTCTATGCTAAATGCAGTTTAAAGAGGCTTAAAACACTTTAACAAATGTTTGGCAAAGATTTGAGGCCATGCTCATGTTTGCAAGTGGAATAACCAATGAAGATGGTATAAACCATCATACTGTTAATGAGAAACAAGTCATATGCATTTCAATGTATGATAGAAGTTTATCAGATAAAAATCTAAAAATGTCAGAAAATGTTGAAATTCTAAAAGTACTAAGTTTTGTCACTGAGTCCCCTGATGGGCACATCTCAATTGGTAGGAACATTGTAGTAGGGACATTGGAAGCACAGGGGGAAAGATCCCAGAAGATGACATGGGAAAACAGAAAATCAGTTACCCAGTATCCTTGAACAATGGGCATTCACCGTGGAGCTAGAAACTAGTGTGGCTTCCTCAGAGAGTTTCCCTAGAGAGACACTACTCAGACACTGAAGAGAGTGTTTATATGTTAACCTGGAGAATGCTGCTTCATCTTTTGTGAATCTTATTCATTGAAACTATGAAAAACCCAACTCAACTTGCTGGTGATGACAGTAACAACCCTGATGGATCTAGTTTTCTGAGGTCCTCCAGCCACCAGATACAACAGGTATGGAATTGTTACAGTGCTCCATGCTGCCAGACACCAGATGGATTTGGTCATCACTCTATTCTCCTCCCTAGTATAATAACTATATATTCTACATCACTAGCAGATGTTGGCTGTTTCATTAATGACTTTTTGCATTGCCAGTCAGCAAATTATACACAGGGACCCTCTAAGTGTTTCCTTGTTAATAAATGGACACATCTGTCTGGTTCTCAAGTCCTCTCTCTTCTCTTCAGGCTCTTTGTTCTCCTACTTTAGGTCCAACTGGCCCCCTGAACACGGTCCTCCCCTGAGACCTGCCACTCACAATAGTCATCTCCATCCAGCCTTCCTCTCTGCAGCTCCAACTCTCTTCACACAGACAGTCCAGTTTCCTAACTGAATACTCCACTGACTGCCAAGGTCAAGTCCACAGAACCCAGGGCTCACACCTCTCACATTCTCCTTCACCTGCCATGGTGTCTCGCCACCACTGGCCACTATCTCCTCTTTTGAAAAGTCTCCTGTCTTTGACTTCCATGCAACTCAGCTTTGGTTTTCCTCCAACATCACTAGTCCTCTGTCCCAGTCCCCTTTGATGGTCCTGTTCTTCTTGTTTTCCACACACAATCTCTTTCCCTGTGCAATCTTTTCAGATTTTGTGGAATTTAACACAAAATGGTGTCAATTCTGCCAGCAAATATTCCCCCAGTTTTATCTTCACTCTCACTTCTGTCTCTCATGCCCACATTGACTTCTCAACAGTGTCACACATTTTAAAATCATCTGAATCTTAAGTTTAAAAAATTTATTTTTAACCACCTACTTGATGTCCTGACCACCCTCAGTCTTCCCAGTCTCAATAAATATCTCCACCTTCCACCTAGTTATGAAGACAAAATCCTCAGAAAGAAGTGTGATTTTCTACCCCCTCCTTAGTTTAATCTATTAACTACTTATGCAAAACCTCCCCAAAATGTCCATCTTATTTCATCATGCTCTTCATCATGAGCACACTAAATGAAACCACAAACCTGTCCTCCCTGGAGAATTCTAGTGTGCTCTTAAATGGTCTCCTCAACTCCACAAGTGAACCCAATAATCCAATCTCCATATAAAAGTTAGAATTATTTTTAACTTCAGATAAATTGACTCTTCTTGCAACTTTCCAGGAGCTTCTAATATCAGTTTAAACAGCATTGAAATTTCTTACCCTTGCTCTTGGCACCTACTTGATTAGGCCCTTGACTTCCCCTTCATCTACCTCATCTTCTGGGACTCCACGCCACTCCCTCAGTCACTAAATGTCTAACTTAAGCGCAGCACACAGCTTTCCACTTTGGGGCCTATCCTCTGATGCCTCTCCCTTCTCCCTTAGATCTCCTCCTTACTCTCATCTCTTTATTCTTGTCTCAGCTAAATGCCTCTCTCTCAGGGATTCTTCCTCATACCTAAACTGAAGTTGGGTGAGTCCCCTTTCTCTCTGCTCTCTCACCCTGATGATGTCTTTATATTTTTCCCCCTGAGTGCCTTTATTATTCTCTGTAATATTTTTCTTCATTAAATGTTTATTGGGTTATTGTCTTTCTCTCTGTAATTATATAAGTTCCAGTAGACTAGAGGCTTTCTGTCTTATCAAATGGAAATTTTGGAGCTTAGAACAAACCCAGGATATAGTACTTAACACAGAAAAGTATCTGTGGCCTATATGAAACTACTGCGGTTCTGGGAATTGATCACTGTGGTATCCTGGAAAATAATAAGAGGTTCAAACATCAACACTCTTGTAGTCTGATGACACATTATATGACTTGTATTTCCTGTGAGAAGTTGAGACAAATTTCCTCTTTTTTTCAGGGGGAGGGGGGTACCAGGGATTGAACTCAGGGGCACTCAAACCACTGATCCACATCCCATCCCTGTTTTGTATTTTATTTAGAGACAGGGTCTCACTGAGTTACTTAGCCACTCGCTGTTGCTGAGGCTGGCTTTGAACTTGTGATCCTCCTGTCTCAGGCTCGAGAGCCACTAGGATTACAGGCCTGCATCACCACACCTGGCAAACTTCTTCTTTCTCCTCCATATAAAAGCATTTACAGGTAAAGGAAAGGCAATTTGAAGAAAAAGGGAAATTTATATTGTTTTATCTGCTCTGATGAATCTCTTACAGAGCTTAGGAGGTGTGAAGTTTAGGGATATTCAATAATGGTGAGTACATGGGCAAAAAAAGGTGGGGAGAGTGGAGATAGAAAATATCAAACATGACTAATTAAGGGAAAAAAGACACAATGGAGAAATCAATGAGATTTGGATTAAAGCCCTAGTAAGCCAACAACTTCCCTTGACTTGCTTACTGGTTTTCAGCCCCAGGATATATTAACAGCTTTCACACCCTCACTGTACCACCAATTATGTTGTAGACTTTTGAAGCTCATGAAATTGCTGATGACTGACCATTTTTGACTGAAAAACATAGATTTTCATACAATTTTATCCGAACTTTCAATCCCCTATGGGCTCAATCCAGAGAACGTAGGGTACACAGGAGAAACTGATTGTATAAGAAGGTTAAAGCAGATTCATTAAATGAACACTAAACTATGCCAGGTTTTAAGAAGATGCATTACAAGAAGAAGAAGAAAAGGAGGACGAGGAGGAGGAGGAGGAGGAGGAGGAGGAGGAAGTAGCATTACATATTTTAAGGTACAAAAGAACAGCCCAGAGGAGCTCCTTTTCTATACAGTCATGTCAAGTACAGGGGATCTCTGCCTCAACTGAAGGGTGCAACCACAGCAGGAAGAAGGTCAAGAATACCACCAGACCAGCTGCCCCACAGGGATCCAGGGTCATGAAGAGTGCAGTTCAGGGACAAAGAGAAAAGACAGTGGATGACACATCCTGGAGCATCCTCACCCTTTACAGAGGCAGCAGCTTCACACTTCCTGTGAGGATATACATCAGATTTTCTGGGAGAAACCCTTCCAATTCCTTTTGACTCTTACTACTATTTTTACTGATATCTTCTAACTGCTTGCATATTTTAATATTTCATAATTTAAACAAAGAACCAAGTGGCATGTATAAAAGAGACTAGAACTATACATAAAAGTTAGTTTTTTTAAAAAAAATCACCTTTTTTTCTGGCATAATAACATATAAAGGGAACCGCTGAGTGAGAAATCAGTTTAACATTATTTCTAATCCGTCCAAGGCCCTGAGAGAATATGATGTGAGACTGGAGACTTTACTGAAGACAACTTGAAAAGAAATGGTTTACATATGAAGACTTTTCAAACAGGTCTCATAGAAAAGGCTCTGGCTCTATATTTTTGAAAGTAGTTTAGAATCCACATGATGAAAACATGTGGCCAGTGAAGAAAATGTCACAAGTTTTGAGGGACTTGGCCTGGACAAACTGAGAAAGTAATTCCCTTCCTTCCCCACCCATGGCCTCTCCATGCCTGAAGAGTGCACTTACGTCTGGTGTCCCTGGTCAAAGCCAGGGGAAGGCTCAGTGCCATCAGCATCATTGTCAGACGTGCCATGCAGGAGCTTCCACGGAGCCACAGACTCACCATGATGGAGAACAGGAGAGGACTGGGTTAGAGAAAAGCAGATAAGTCTCAAGCAGTGAGAGCTATGTCCTGTCTCTACCCAAATCCCAAATAATAAGAATCAAGATATTCATTTCTTTGATGCTAAATCAGGCAGTCTTGATGCTGAAGAACCAATTAGCATCACTGATGAATAGCATCATCAGTTGCTGGACAGAGATACACTATGAAGGTCCTCTTTTCAAACTCAGAATTTCCTTGATTAAAAGGATCATTTGTATTTAATGTTTTAAACCTTGGATCCAGTTGCATCTGAAATATTTTTATTGAGCCATGATGATGATCCAGCTCTGAAGTTGTCAGTGATATATTCACAAGTATGAGCCTTTTAGAAGCATTCACCTCACACTTGAAGAAAGAGATGTTTGGACAACTGACTGTATGTGTGAAAGTGTTTTGGAGTAAAGTGGGTGGAAGGAAGGTAACTAAAAGTCAGGAGACTTTGAATCTGGTTCTTATTGAACCATAACTTAATGTAAATCTGAGTAAATTACTTAACATCTCCCATTTGAAATGAAGGCATTAAGATCTTTCATGTATTTCCAAGCTGTAAAAAGTTGTGCTTCTGTGGAAACCTCATGCAGCAGCATCCCCTGGTAACTGATGATATTGCAGAATTACAGCTGTTGATTGGAGAGTATGATCTGCACTTCTTTACAGTTAGGGACTCTGATAAGCTAAAGGAAATAGAAAGCTAGTCAATCAGTTAACACGAGTATAAGGGTTTTTCAAGTTTGTGTCCTAATACTGTCATGATTTTAGTGGCATCTAAAGAATACACCTAGGCAAGGGGCATGGAGGAGGCCCTCTATGTGGAATGAAAGTCTCAAAAGTAACTCTGCAGAGCTCTCAACCTGACAGCATAAGGCCACTGTTCAAATCAAAGCATGCAGAGGCTGACAGGTAAAAGACTCAAAAAATCAGCATTTAATACATCTCTGATTTAAAATAATTAATTTTGGGTGGGAAACAATATTCAATCCCTTAATCCTGGTTCCCATTATGATTCCTTCATTTTATTGAGAATATGTCCCTCCATTATTCCCTTTCACTTGATTTACCTAAGGAAAGATATAAGAAAACTTTACTAATACATTATAGAATGTGCAGGAAATAGGACACTATTGAAAAATTATGAATTAGATCATCTGATGCAATCATGTAATTTTACACATATTCCTACTTTTAGATAATTATTTTACATTATATTAATATAAATGTGCTGTTCCAGATTCAGAATTGTCCTAAGGGTCTTTTATACTTCATATCCTTTTGAAAGATATCACCCAATCCAGTTTAATAAAACAAGTTCCCCTTTCATACCTGCAGATAGAGAGAATATAATGATGGGTATTAGATACCATTTGTAAGGAACTGAGGCTGGTAAATGGTATGCTCCAGATTGATTTATCTGTGATTCCAAACTCCATAAACTCAGCCATTACATCATACTACTCACATTTACTTTCTGAGGAGAATAATATCCCTTGTATTAAAATTATTCTTGTCACTTTACTTCATGAATATATTTAACAATAAGACTATCTTAAGGAATGACATCATTTTATATAATGAGACAGATACCATGCAGCAATTCCATTTCCATCAAAAGACTCCCCTCATCACCACCATGATCAAAGTTTGCATTGATCTTAGGCAATGACACCCATGGCTCTTACATAAATCTTCACCTTATTAAAGATAACAGTATCCCCAATCCCTAAATCTGATCTACTGCTCTCAAATATTATCTCAGACTTCTCAAACATAGTGTAGTGCAAATGTGATCACCCCAGAAGAGAATAGAAATGGTATCATGCTTACTTTGGAAAAATATATTTCCATTAAGGTTGGAAGTTCTAAGTTCTTTGGAGAAGTTGCATAGAATTCACTATGATATTATGTACTGCATATGAGAAGAAACTGCATCCCCAGACCCTTATATTATTCAGAAACTAATTACAATATATGACAATCTAGGAAAGACACATTAAGGCTCACATTGGTATTATGGTTCACCTTAGGATAAAAGGGATGGCAAAGAAAATAATTCTATATTAAGAATATCCTAAAATGTGGTTAAAGAGAACACTATCAAATATTTTTAAAAAAACATTTAGTTTTTGGTTGTAGATGGACACAATATCTTTATTTTATTTTTATATGGTGATAAGGATTGAACCCAATGCTTCATGCATGCCAGGCAAGCACTCTACCTCTGAGCCACAACCCCAGTCCTCAAATATTTTTTAATCCATTATTTTTAGTTGTACATGACAGTAGAATCTATTTTGATATAAATGGATCAAATATTGTTCATATAAATTTGACCAACTATTTACATGTCATAGAAGTTTATGTTTAGAAAGAATAAGCAAAAACCTCTATGAACTAAATTCTGTTTGTTGTATACATTTAAGAATAACAAAATATGTTGTGTTAAATATACATCTCCCATATGTCTTCAAAACAAATTATTATAAGGACAGTTCAAGTAAAACAATGTAACTAATGTCACCAAACCATTAATCCTACCAGTGATCTCTGGACTGAACTACTTCACTGGAAGCAAGAACAGAAGCAGTGTTCTCAACTGCTGTTTTGTGAAGGTGCCTAAGGAGAGCTCCCGAGGAAAAGGTAGTTAAATTGGTTTCTGGAAGAAAGTGACTATCAGAATGAAAATTCTTCAATTTATTCTTGAATTTTCATTTGTTTTTTTTTTTAATTTTAATTAGCAAATATAACTTCATACATTTATGGGATATTCTGTGATGTTTTGACATATGCAGACAAGGAATGATTAAAACTAACATAAATATCTCCTCACATACTATCTGGAGTAAGAACATCTGAAATCAATTCTTTGAAATTTTGAATATTAAATACATTATTATTAATTAGTTCTCATACTGCTCAATAAATCTCAAAAACTTATTCTACCTAATTCAAACTTTGTACTCTTTGACCAATGTTTTCCCTAGATTCCCTAAGTTGATGCTTGAAACCATATGTTCATTTTTTGATTATATGTTATAAATAGTTATATACAGTATATACATATATCATACAAATATATATATACTTAATATATATGTGATGTATACATATAAGGAAACATGTATTATATGTATATGTGTAATTATGTCATATATAATATATAACCATTTATATGTTATATATTATAAACATATTTGTTTTTATGGTTATATGATACAAATCAACACTCTTGGAGAAAAAAAAATGTGAAATTAGAAGAATGTACTTTTGTTGAACATAAGAAGGTTGATATTGAAGGACAATAAACCTTGAAAAAAAATGAACTCTGTAGATAGGAAATCAGTGAGAGGGAGGAAGAGAAAGAAAGGGGACATACTAGGAATTGAAATGAAGAATATTATGTTAAGTGCCTCTAGGAACCCCACTATCACGTATAACTAGAATGCACCAATTAATAAAAACAAAAAGAAATTAAAATGACATTTTAAAAGTTTGCTCAGTTGGCCACAGTTAGTACAGAATATCTTTTAATTGTTCAGATGCTTTCAGAATATTCTCAGAAGTTTTCAGAAGGCAACCACCACTAAGCTGACAATATTAAAATTACTAGCACTTTCTTACATTAACAAGATTTGCCTAGATAAAATCAACTTGAATTTTACAGAAGGTTCTGCAAGGGTAAGGTTCACACCTCCTTCTATATGACCTATCAAACAAAACAACTCTTACAATATTGTGAAGTAATATTGAGAAACTTAGTACAACTTTCACTAATTATTGCCAACATCCCTATTTTGGTCATATGTTCATTCCATAGTTTACACAGCATCATAAAATAGCAAAATTTGTAGACTAATTCTTTCAATTAGAGATTCTAAAGATGATTTGAGTGCTAAAGTCAGCATCAACAGATCTGACTGGGGGACTGGTCTGAAAGAAAAATATAAGAGCAAAGGTGCAAGATAATTTTTCAAAATTACCTAAACCATGGCTACACCATTAACTAGAGATAAAAATGCTTTTTGATAATCACAGCAGAAGATAGCATGAGGACTGACAGAAAATTTAGGCTTCTCTATAAGTATTGCTTCTATAATTTCTGAAGCTATAAAAAACTACACAAGCATAATAAGAATAATCGTAAGGGCAACTGATTCCTCATGTAGGCAAAAAAAATAAAAAATAAAAACCAACTAACAAAAAGCATAGCATTGGTTCATTTTCCTCCAGAACAGAAAACAGTAGTCTTTTGTCAAAGTTGCCTTCAGTGTAATTGCTGATACTGAGTGTGATATCATTCGTATTGACCATGGTGTTTTCACCCACAGTTTTATAGCTATGTGACTTCAGAACCTCACAGACTAACTTGTTGTACTCCCATTTGGGCAATGCACTGGTTTGTGTAACTTGATAAGCTTCCAAAGGTGCCTATAGGAAGAAACCAGTAAGTGAGTTGTAAAATTCTAGATGGGTTAAAGAATGATCAAGTAGACCATGAAATATTGGAAGAAATTTGTGGCATGCAGAAATCTTTAGCACAACTCTGGAAAATCGCTGCTATAACACCACCCATGAAGTCAAAATATGAAATCTCTTGGGAAAATGAGAAATATATTTGAGTTCACCACAGGTTTGCTAATCAAGGAGTGTTTGAAATATGACTGAACAAATTTTCCTGTGAATGTAGTAAAATTGGAAAAATGCAGGATGACTTTATGGGGCACAAATTGATCATCTTCTCTGTACTGGACCTTCAGATTTGAAATTTATGCCCAGGTAAAAACTCAGAAATATTCTGGAGTTGCAATCTGATGCAAATTCCCAAAATGTTCATGAAAATGTTGCTTAAATGATAAACCTCAACCATCCCATGCCCCTATAATCTTTGTTCAGGGTCACATGGAGCTCCTGTAGAGACCAGGTACTATTGTTATGTCCCTTGGATGCCCTCTAGTTGCCTCTGCATAAGTTCAGTGGAAACTAAGCATCAACTTTCCATATACTCTGATCACTGGGATGAAAAAAATCCT